ACAAGAATAAATAAGTATTCGGTATTATTGGTGAATATTGACACGGTTTGGGTGAGAATAAGTTTGATTACCTCCTTGAATGTCATTAATCAACTCAACAATTTCTATTGCTGGTCCAAGAGGTATCCCATAAACTTTAAGACCTTCATGCGTTAAAATAAGAAATGCTTCACCATCGACTTTTTGAGCTGTCAAGGTATCTATGTGACTATTAATGTTGTTTAACCTCCTTTTCAAAAAGCCATTAAGTTCTTCGGCATTAAATCCCCACACTTCCTCGACCGTTGGAAGATCAGATGAAGGAATAACAGGAACACTGGTGGAAGAACCTGCAACGTTAAATGGCATAGCTTCTACGATTAAAAAATCTATTGTCGATTAATACGTAAAACAGACGATCATGCTTTAAGGAATTCTATCACATGATTATCTTATCTTATTTTTTTTTTTAATTTAACGCGTCTCACCTGTTTTCATAAATTGCTTTGCATTCACGTCGTGAATATATATGAAAAAAAATTAGTTATTACATCTACTTTAATAATACCTTTATTGCATCAATATTATAAGAATGTAAAAGGGAATTTGTTTATCTCGGACAGGGTGATCTCAAATAAAAATAACTACCATGTAGTTGCTTCAGCAATGATTGTTAACCAGAATAAGCATTGTGTCCGAACTTTTGAAAGGGTTTATTCATTATAACGAAAGAAACTAGAATGGGAAATGAAATTCAGGATCGGTGGAAAATACTGGATCAGAGAAATTGAGTTGCACGATAAATATGTGGTCAATCACTCTTTTTTGTCTTACTATGCGCAGATTGAACGATCTGATTTTCTATAAGTTTCTCCGGTATTTAAATTGTAATAATAATTTTCATCATTGTCATTTGAAATTCACAGAACCCATCATAATAAGTTAGAATCTAAAGAATCATAGGATTCACCTACCTCTTCCTCCAGTAAAGATTTGTTGTCTTCACCTATCATATCTTCTGAATTAGATGTATTCGACATGGGATAGAGGAAGCAGATGTTTCTGAATTTTTTTTTTCCTTCTTACGATTATTTCGTGCAAAGTTGGGTTACAAGTGTCAATATAGAACTTTACTCATCATCCCGTAATCAGACAGAGGCAGGCTCACATCAATGGTTTAATCAAAGGATACATTATCTATAACTATATTATTATAATAGTTATTAGAATTATACAAACATTTTAGTATAACAACTTTTTATTTTATTTTTACAATATATAAAGAATTATTTTGACTCAAGTCAATACTTATTATTAATTATTTTCTATTTTAATACAACTTTATATTATATAAAAAATTATTCGATTATTCTATTTTTTATTATTTGATAATATAATAAACATTTAAAAAATAAATTGAAATTCAAAGCAATAATTAAATACCTTTTATTTTAAAATTAAAAAATTTAAAATAAAAATCTTCAAAAATTTCTATAAATTATATAAAGAAAGTTTCTAAGAGTATCTATTGATTTTTTTAAATCTAAAATTAAAGAATTAGAATATTATTTTGCAGTTTATAATAATATAATTACCTTTATTTTACAAATTTTAATAATAATAATTGATTTCATAAAAGCAAAAAATAATGCAAATGTTTATTTGCCATTTACTTTTTTATAGTTTTGCTATTTATACTATACTATTATAAATTAATTGTAAATCAGTTACTAACTTACAATATTTTTCTTTATATTTTGTTAACAATAAGATAAGTTTTTTATTTAATTTTTGAGACATGTCTTCAATTTGACTAGTCTTACTTTAACTTCTTTATTGATTAATATAGAATCCTTCTTATGTTAATTTCCATAGGCAAGTCTTGATTTTTTATATAGTTGTATAGTACAAGTTACAAGTATTTCTGATATATAAGAAAATAATAGTTTATTTAAATTCAAGTTATATTTATGTACAGTATCTTATTATAAAATTTTATTTTATTAAAGATGTTTGTATAGAATTGGATTTTTGTAGTTTATAAATATAAAAATAAGCTTTAGTTGACTTCTTATTTAATATAGTTTCAACTTATTCTTTATTTATTATTGCAATTGACAACTTATACCTATTGTTTTTTTCACAATAAAAACAAAATAAATAGTTAAATATTAAAAACATGTATAATTTTACTTGAAATGTTAGTTATATATTAATTGTAATTTGTAATCTCTTATAAACTAATTTAAGTGCTATCATATTTTAAAAATCACAATAATACAGAACTAGTAAAAATTCACAATTATTTTTAAAATTTTATGAAATACATCATTTTTACAATTATTTTTATTTTTTCAAAATAGTTATCGAACGTATTTTTAAATAAATTTTAATAAAAAAACATATATAGGTTTTTGAATAATCTACCTAAACTAATTTTTACTTGAAATTTTCAATAATTTATTAAAATATGTTAAAAATTTTAAGTATTATTTCCTTATAAAAATTATATAATTGCCATTAAAATTAAAATTTGAATTGATATTATCATAATTTTTAATATAAACTTACTAAAATTTAAAGTTTGTTTTATTATAAATAGCATTTATAATAAATATTTGGACTTTTTGCGAAATCTTGTAATTACAGTATATCGTTACTGATGCTGCATTTATAGAAGTCTGTAGGACTTTCGGTTTACAGTATCGAGAGTTGGTCAGTAATTAAATAGATTGTTTTTTTTCGAGTTTCTTAAAGAATTGACATATTTCATCAATAACTTGTATTAACTCTTGCCATTCAAAATTAATGTTACTTAATAAATCTATTACATGAATTTATTTGTCGTTAAAAAAACGTGTGACATGTATATTTTCACAAAACATCAAAAACTATTACTGTATCACAGGAAAAATCTGTTTTATTGTAGTGTAATGGCTATCAAAAAAACAATAAAATATATGATTTCTGAAATAAAACATCCCGATTACAGTATTAATCATATTTGACTAACTATATCTTTCCCATCAATATTAACACTATATTTTTATATGTAATAATTTACATGTTCAACCTTCAATACAATGTAATTCCCTAATCGCCAACAGATCTCCAAATATATTCTCGCTTTCATCTTCCGTCATTTTCCTTATAGGTCTCATCATTACGTTTTTTGGAATCGGTAACAAAAAGAAAGATATGCTCTCCAACATTTTTACATTTATTATGTTCTTTCTCCACAAAGCCTTTCTCCAGCATAGTTGCTGAATAACCCTCGATCACTTTGCTACGACTAACTATTAATTGCTTATCTTGGATGAGAATAAATGGCTCTGTGATCAAGAATGAGTCTGCAAATTCAGAATTCTGCATATTATGGTAGGCGATACATTCTGGTGTTTACTGTGTCTTAATACCATTAGTAAAATCATCCCAGTTTTTTTCATTTATCTGTTTATCTGTTGAACGGGAAAGTCGGCAGCTACATGAGTTAGTGATATTATTAATATTATCTGAAATGGATTTCTGGTAGATCACCCATAACCGAAACGTAATTAATGAAACAGTGGGTGTCTCATTTTGATTCGGTGAAATAGCATTGTCCAAGGAATCAAGAATTCTAATAGGTCAAGGCTTATTATTGATTAGATCTGAGTATATTTCGTGAAGGATGAGAAATGGAAGTTTGATCCTCATATGACATCCATTTCCTTCGAGAAAAATAGACTCCCTTCTCTCTAAGTCCTGTAAAGATAGTACAAGTTAGATATGTTTAGAAAGCATATGATTATTAGGATTTTAAATGTTGCTTACCTCAATTTTACGCTTCTTTTCGAACAAACTATACGCCACCAAGTGGGGATAATTTCCGATTAGCATAAAAGTGATCAAAGTAGCATTGATACTTCTTTTTAATAAGTTTTTTTGTTTTTATGAGAAGTTCGTCGCAATATTTTGATTCATATTGACATTTTTCTAAGTAGTAACGTAATCCACTTTGGTAAAATTTGAAAACAATAGGTGTGTCTTTGTTATTAGCAACACTTGATCCAATAACACTCATTTGAAATATCATAGATTCGAGAAAACGACCAACAACACCAAGAAGCTTAATTTTATATTTCGTCTGTTCAGAGAGTTTGTTGATCCTACCAGCAAAATACTAATTTCAGTAAAATTTCTTGCAAAGTTACAAAAGATGTAGTTCACGATAGATACTCATCTCTTAGCTTCATCAACCACCTGAAAAAGGTAACAAAGTAGATCAGCTAAGAATCGACTAGCAGTAAACATCAATAACGAAATTAAAACTCACCCCCCTGGTTGGCTAACTCAAGCAAAACTTATTCAGCGTGCTCGAACTTTAGTAGTGGTAAAGATATATCTTCTGTTTTCGCATTACTTGACTTGACTGTTTCAAACAGATCACTTGCATGGGTTCCTGTTAAGACGACAAAAAGAAAGTACCTATCTGATCTATTCGTGATGACTCTTGAAAGAGACTTAAGAACCTCCCGAAGCCTGTAACCACGTCCAAAATCAAACAGGTCGTTTGTTTCATCGATATTGATAATAAATAGATGATATTTAATCTGGTCATTTAGACATGGGATGTTATGTAGAATTACTTAAGAATAGTCACAAGCGTAACATTGCTTCCTAATATTTTAATAAACTTATTAAGAGAGAAACTTCCAATGCAAAAGCAATTACAAAATTGATCAAATAAGTATTATTATATCACAACAAACATTAGAAAAAGGATGTATGTGAGACTTACTTCAAACGATATTTCAAAGATTCATACAACAGAACTTTTCCAAAAAGCGATTCATTATCATTGTCAAAAAACCTTTGTCCTGAAATGTCATTGCACGCTATTCAGAAAGCCCGGCATGCTATTTGACATTCTTTCACTGCATCCACAACGTCAGAACCAATAACCTCAGAATAAATGTTTAATTTTTCATATTCTCGTCGAGCTAATGTAGTTTTTCCTTTTCCAGGAGTCCCTACAGCCGTAGGAATTCTTATTTCCTTTAGGGGTTCTGAATATTTGTTACGATTTTTAACGAGGCGATGCAACTTTCCATGTTCATCATTAGTTGACTGACATCTTTTTCACGGTTCACAAACTCCAGATAAGTCGAAATGTTTGAAAGGCCGTCTGGAATACTGACAGTGATTTACGAAGTGGATCAGGTGGTTCATTAAAAAAAGGATCAAGAATGTTAAAGATATCATCATAGGATGGAATAGTTTGATGCGCTAATGTGTACAATGACAGTAAGAAAAACTGTATAAGTTTGAGTCAAATGCATTTTTATTGAGCAAACCACCTAGTTACAAAGAAAGATACCCTGTGAAACGCCTTGCTGGAAATGGCCTGTTTTAACGCGAAAAAAGAGATCAGACAAAACTCGATATTTTTTACTGCAAATTTTTTTGTTCGAGAGGTAAAACTTCGGGAGACACTTACCAGTGGTGGCGGGCAATGGTGGCTGCACAATGATGCGGATGTTCTTCAAATAACTATACGCAAAAATGTCACCAAAATCATCAAATGAATTCAGCAGTTTTCCTCCAAGATTTTGTATAATAATATTTTCATCGTCAATGTCACTTCTGCTTTCAAGTGGTTCCAATTTTTTAACGTTTTCTGCATCGCCAGGAATATTCACCTCCATATATTTAACTTGTTGGCATCAAAATCTTCGAAATCCTTCTTATCATATATTACTTCCCTTAGCTTTGAAATATTCATTCCTGCCCGGCCTTCAACTTGAAAGATGCGCTTAGCTTTAGTACTCGCCACAAAACAAAATACCATAATACCGGTGGTATACCTGGAAACACAAAAATCGAGAGATAAGTCCATTTTTTTTTTTCTTAATCTTTCAGTGAATGTTTCGAAAAAAAAATACTAACGTACTAAAAACGTACGGACTAAGTTTATACCTTTATACCGACCCACGCTCATTCATTTTTACGTCACGATTTATACTTACGTATGTGGAACATAAGAATTTTTTTTATACAGAAGCCGTTGTATTATTGTCTTCGAGTCAACTTGTTAAAGTATCACAGTTTAAAAGAAGCGTTGAATCCGCAAGCGAATGTCATTTTTCGTACAAACTTCTAAGGACCTTACTACAACATACATTACGGCGGGCCTTCTATATATATATTATCCAGTATATTGATAATTGGGGACCATGAAGTCAAACCATGGAGTGGTATTCATATATACTCACGATGGAATACTATTTTTATTACCGAAAGGCAATCATATGCCAATACGTACTCGAAATCGTACATTATATCAATAATAAAGTAATTAAGGCTCCGTTTTCGCACGATTAATTGAACAAATCGCATTTTATATAGAATTTATCCAAAGAGGCGAATCTAAAGGTTCATCTACAAGTGTCTTGCTGAGATTAGCAAACTTAGAAGTATGCTGAGATTAGGAAAAAAAACTGAGCTTGAGGCCAACAATACCGAACTTTTATAACAGTCAAAGATGAGGTAGATAAAAACAAAATAGATACTACTAACCTTAATATTGAAAACGATGAGAGTTGCGAAATTGAGATAGAAACAGCTGCAAAATTATAACGTGGACAAATTAGAAAACAAAAAACATATTGCTAGATTAGATGACACCAGTAAATCAAACAGAGAAGCTCACCCATTTCAAAAGAACAATCTTTGTCTGATATGAATGTCTCTTGTAGGATATGTCTAAACAGATAATTTCACAAACTAAAAATGATTTGGCACTGATTAAGCTTCAAATTCTAATGTATTTTATAAAGAAACAAAGTAAATAGTTTCAGTACAGCTATTTGCAGACCATTGGAAGACAAGGAATGTCGATATACTGTATAAGGAACAGATTAGTGATAAGATGATCCAGAACATTAGGGAAATGAAACTTCAGATCAAGGGCTACTCTCAGATCCGAGAATACCAATATTTAGAGTGAGTAATATTTGACCCAAAAGATAACAACTTCCATTAAAGGTTGGAATCATATTATTGGATTTTTAGCGAACAAAACTTCAAAAATGTTGGTGGGTCACGTGACTGAAATTTTAGCAAAAAAATTTTTTTATCAAAAATCATGTAACTAACAACTTAACTCAAGTGAATAACGACAATTCTATTTTGTTTTCCAATTAATAAAGTAAAATTTTATTAAATTTAGCAAGTTTATTCACAAAGCCTGTGATGCAGAAAAGAAGCAATTAAAGTTAATCAAGATGAAATTACATGCTGATATTAAATATTATAGAATTTGACAATCAGATTAAAAATATTCCGAAGTCTTATTGTACTGATGAAAAAAAAGTAAAAGGTCAAATTTATGGTTTTATTATTATACAACTAAATGTAAACACGATTCTTTACAGAAATAAAATTGTAAAAGCTAGAAAAGTTCATAACTTATCGAAAAAATAAAAATAGTCAAGATTCAATACACTAGAACGTTGAGTGCTGACTTTCTTTCAATTATTTCGTTAAAAAATCCTGATATATAATTTATCAATGATTCAAATAGTCCTTCAAATAACCTTTTCAAATTAAAATAGATAAAAATAATGTATATCTTTAAATCAATTTCAAAGAAGAAACCAGAAATTTTAAATGTATTAAATGCAAAGTATAATAATGGCTATATTGTTGGTCTGGAAAACGGCAAGTCAGTTGCTTCACCGGTTCAAAGTTCATGTAATTAAAGTTAATTGAGGTGTGTAAAACTGATTTGGCCAAGGGATTTTTCTATTAATAAGCTTTTCTCCTCTTTCCCAGCACCAGCTCTTCACTTGATAATCCTGGGCTATATCCTATAATGGTGATTATTCTTTCATAAATGGTATGTACTCGAAAAGGTAAGTTTATTAATTAAAATATTCCTTTTCTGGTCTTTCAATTTTACTAATCACTCTGTTTATTATCAATTGCACCATGGTTCTTATTATTATTTTCCTTATTATTACCATCTTATTTCACTCATATATTGGTATCACTATTTATATTGTCCACATATATAAGAAAAATAATTAAGGGAGAATAGACTATCAGGACTAAATTAGACTATCAAGTAAGTTATCTAAGCTTTTATTACTATATTTTCCATGCTAATTGTTATAGATACTTCATATTTCCAGGATATGTGACACAACGATTATGGTACCTGACTATATTCTGTAACTTTTCCCAGGCTAACAATATGAATGAGAATATCAAATATTTATCAATTATAAATAAGATAAATATGCTTGTTAATTCTTTAAATTTAACTTGAAATTCTCTAATAACAAGAATTTAATAGTAATTTTAACAATAAGAACAATAATAAAAATTTTCTAATAATAAGATAATGTAACTTTTAAAAGCAAACATAATTTCAGTAAAGCATTTTCAGCAAACAATAAAAAAAAACTTTATTATTATTTAAATTGTTAGAACTAATAAAAAATTCAAATCATTAAATAAATTTTTCTTTTTTAAAAAAAAATCAAATTTATCAAATTTTTTATTTTGTTATTAGAATTATATACTTTGTGTTTTTCTTAATGCTTTGTTACATTTTATATTAAATAACTTCATATAAGATAATAAGATAATTATATTTATTTCAAGTTATTTTGATTTTTAAATCCATGATTATCAATTTTCTTCTTTTATTTGTTTTGTTATTAAATAAAATTTATATTTTTTTGATTTTTAAATATTTTACTGAACTCATTATATAGAAATTAAAATTAATTTATTGATTTATATAATTTGATTTTGATTTTACTATTTTTTTAATGAAAAATACTTATTTCATATGACTTTATTAAGTAATTTATATTCAATTACATAAGAACTAGCCAATCCAATTTAATTTTCTTCTTGAACTTTTATATCTATTCAATTATACCAGTTTATCATTTGTAAGTAATTTATATATTAGATGATAGAAACTATCTAGAAAATAGAAATTTTATTTTTAGTTTAAACTATTTAACTTAATATTATTGTTTTTTTATAAAAAAACTTGTGTTTTTTAAAGATAATTAGAATATATAGTTGTTTTATTTAATATTTTTTATATAAAATCTTAAAAATATACTATACTTGTAATTTTAAATTGTATATTATTTATTCTTCTTTTAAGCAAATATTAGATTAAAATGGATTTAGATTAGAATATTTATTGTATTACAGTTTATTATATCAATATACAGTATTATAAAATTTTATAATAATTAAATTAGAAATTTTTTGTGCAACCTTTTGTTTTAACTTAACTTTAGTCTATAATTATTAGAAAGTTTAAAGATTTATTTTTATATAGCCTAATTAATCTTAATTTTTTGGGGGGGTTTCCCCAGTAGGTAAATATCATTTCTTTATTTTGATTTGTATATAACAAGGTATACATCGTTGAAAGAAACAACATCTCTCTTATTATTTCAGAAGA